ATTTTCCGGGATACCTTTGGTTTTATATTCGCGAACAATTCCAAGACGGTTTTCGTTTCTCACAATACCTTCGGGTACATTCAAATGCCCGAGAACTTTTGAAAACAATTCCCAGCCGTCGGGGTTGAAATTCTTCCTTTGACGTAGAGAATCATTCACCAAATCAACTATATTTGTGCTAGGAACCGATCTTCCTTTGAACACCATCTGGCCTTGTTCATTCCAACCAACAAGATCTTTATTTGACTTGAGTTTTTTGATGAGTTGTCGAGCTCTTGACTTCATAGTAGCTGGTACACTGTCCATGATATCTGTTTCAATCTCGTCTGAAGGTTCAGTCTCTTCACTCAGCTGTTCTCCTTGAGGTTCTTCAGGTTTATCGGTGTGCGTCACGTTTACTCGGAGAGGTTTATTCATTCGTTTATCATAAAAGGTTAAATAGCGTTGTAGATTCTGGTCGTATAAACTTTGCCTTTTCATCAATTGGTATATCTTGTCGTCGAATAATATCCTGCATGTCTGAGTCTATTTCGTTAACCTGTGTCGCCAAAGGCGCCGCGAGAGGTTTCTTTCGCTGTTCAGCCATATGTTCAGGGACAAGGACTAGTCGCTTGACGTGTTCCATTATAAAAAGTTAGCCAACTGTTCCAAAACTGAAGTGAGTAGAAACGGTAGGAAACCCTCCCCTTTTTGGACTAGACGTGTTCTTCTTTTTACGATAGGATTTCTTTTGTCGGCCGCAAACTTTATATGCTTGGAATGCGGTGCAAGTTTTTTAGCTGTTTTCGGTTTCAGTTTAACCGTTTCACACCAAACGTTTAAAAGACACTGTCTTATCGCTTCGAATAAATCGTCTTCAGCCGCTTTCAAAATAGCTTTTCTCAGTTCGGGTTTGCACTTGGCCAATACTTTCAGAAGTTCGGAGTTCCTCTTCATACAAGCAGACATGATCAAATGAACATTTTACACACGTTCCCACATTTTTATACTCTGGGTTGATATACATAATGCGTGTCGGTTGGAAAGATCCCGGATCGAATTCGTATCTCGTCAGGACATGTAGGAGTTAAGTCGACAAATAGATAAGAATAAGGTTCTTTCGTTGCCAATTGATAAGCTTGTTGGAAAAACTTCGTTTGAGTCGGGTATAGCTGTTTAGCGAGATGAGTAATTTGACTTGCATCGCGAACATTTTTCGTTAAACATAAATAACTTGCATTGAGAGATATTGTGCGATGCTCTTTGCTCTGGTGAAACAAGTTTTGCACAATGTAGATTACGCTTAGATTACCATGGTGCGATTTTTTCGTGAACAATTTAGAAATCACTCCGTCTTTCTCACCCATCATATCGTCAATAATGAACAAATTGCGCGTTTCTGGATTGATACTATCCATTATATTATCCGGCAAGCCTTGTATGAATTTTATACCAGGCACTAAATTTTGTATTTCTCCAAACGCATCTTGATATTCGGCATAGAAGTAAATAATATTTTCAGGCGTTGGATCAATCAGCACATTGGCATAGCTGAGAAGCTTTTTCACAAAGGTGGTTTTGCCTGATTTTGTACCGCCAGAAACGAGAAGCCCAAACGGGTGTCTTAACTGTATGGAGTACATGATGAAAATGAAAGCAGATACTTTTCGATCAGTCTATTTATCTTTTGCAACTCGATCAATACCGTTGCTTTATCAATAGGCATTTTCCTAGCACGAATAAGGTATGGTTGTCTCTCTTGAGTAGATAGTTTATGAACATTGGTTAAATGATTAGATAACTTTAATAAACCTTTCTTTCCGCACATGGGACAGACCTTACGCGTTCGAGGCATGTTATCAAATGAATGTTTCCGAGCATACAACTACCTAAATAGTCCCTTTGGGGACTAATTATTGTCCCCGGATGTCCCTGGCACAGATGAATGTCCCCACGGGGCCGTGATTACCAACATTGGTCCCTATTATAGCCGATTGTTCCTTTAGAAAGTCCCTCCGGGGACTAATTTTTGTCCCCGGATGTCCCCGACACAGATGAATGTCCCCATGGGACCATAACTACCAGCATTAGTCCCTATTATAGCCGATTGTCCCTTTAGAAAGTCCCTCCGGGGACTAATTTTTGTCCCCGGATGTCCCCGGCACAGATGAATGTCCCCATGGGGCCATAATTACCAACATTAGTCCCTATTATACCCGACTGTTCCTTTAGAAAGTCCCTCTGGGGACTAATTTTTGTCCCCGGACGTCCCCGGCACAGATGAATGTCCCCATGGGGACATAATCACCGATATTAATCCCTAATAAAGACGAATGTTCCTCTAGGGAGAAAATCCCCGCAGTTGTACCATTACACACATAACTTTAATGTTTAAAATCATTTATTAATGTAAAAACCATAAGGTAATGTATCAAAATTATTTACAATCACACGCTTATTATATACAATACGATAGTCCTTGTTCTCACTCCTCGTCTTTACACTTTTCTCTTTAGTGTCTCTATTTATTTTGTATGGTATATTTACAGTTATGCTGTCTGTGAGATCAGACAACGCTTCTAAACAAACCATATCACACATTAAATTAAAATTAACCTTTTGTGCAGTTCTGTAGTTTAAGGTGATCCCTCTAACTTTGCATACTGTTTTGTCTGTGCTTGTCTCGTAGGCATAGTTTTTAGGACCTCCAGACACAAAGGTTGTAATGTAACCTCCATCCAACTCGTCCGTTAGTTGACCAAGATAGGATCCCGTCGGCGGCTCCCATTCGTCTTCCTTTGAAACGTAGATAACTGAATCTGTGTCAAAATATAAGACTCGGCGATTTAACAGATCCAGGACACCATAGAGCTTGAGGCGGGCGTGGGCTGTGGTGAACGCTGCGATGACCACATTTGTCTTTCCGTCGGCTTCCACGAATTCGTCAACGTTTTCAAAATGGACTTCGATGAGCTCGTCGTTAATGAAGTTCGCGTCGGTGACGTTAATCTGGTCGCTGGAGAGGAGGTCAAAATATTCAGCTGGATCCGATATGATTTTTACCTTGGTCATGTTGGGTCGTTGCGCAAACTTTCCTACAAGAAATGATAGGTTTTTAACAAACACTTGTTTTTTCCCAAGTACCGTTAGTGGACAATTTGCCATTGCACTTACCCCAAAAAGAGTTCAACATGAGCTTCGCCAACGCCCTCAGACCAGGATTCTTCACAATTTGTCTTGGATCCAGCTGAATACATTCTTTTGCGGCGTAGTCAGCGATGTACTGCCCCTTCTTCTCATCGGTGTCACATTCCGGAGGAAAGCCACTCGCCTGCAAAAGGGAAAGGAATAATAAGCAACTAATAATGTGAAAATATCACACATGTGATGAAACCTTACCTCTTGTTTGATTTTTAGGAATGTATCAATATAGTCCTTAAACAGTCCATCTGTGTGCTCGGGGAAGTGCCAAACTTCGTCGACTCTCATCAGTTTGTAGCCTTTCCCTAGTGCTTTCTCGAGCTCCAAAGTCACCCACGTTCCATGAAGTGTTCGCTCGGCGTCGCTGTGATGGCAGGGCTCTTGTTGAAGGTTGTCGGCACAGGTGCGACACAACGGGAACATCAATTTACCCTGAGTACGGTAAGGGAGGACGGGGTGGTATAGGGCACGAGGAGGAAGCACAGAACATTTCACCAAACCAAAGTAGTCACTGATAGGTTAAAAGTTCTCAGTAATAATCTCGGGATGGCCAATCGGATACTCGCCGTATTTGTTACACCTAAAAATTGCTTAAGAAGGTTAATGACAAGCATGTTTGAGTTAAAAGACTTCAACAAGATACATACCATGGGTAGAGGCTGCAGAAATCCACATAGCGGATCTTCTCTTCTGGCTGGACGTCGTAATATAGGCGGGTTGCGTTAGTCCTTCCACCAAAGAATGCATGACGAGGTTCAAGAGGTTCAGAAATCTCGAAATTGTCGAAGAAATCCTTCATCTCGGGTTCAGTGGCAAGTTGACGCTCAATATCACACGTCCAAATCTCTACGACATTATGTCCGTTATCCTTTAGGAATTGGATTTTCTCGAGGGTTCGCTGCTTAAGATCTTGCATGGTCATATGGTTGATCGGATTCACGGTATCTCTAGCATAACATCTTTCGCATCCATGCCACAGGCATCCTTGAATTTCCCAAACAGTGTTTGTTTCAACGTTGAACCCATCGACAAGATACTTGCCAATGCGCTGCTCTCCGTGGTTCCGGGCGTGGCGAATGACGGTGTTATCACGTTGAGCGACCCAGGCCAGCATCTTCAAGGCGATGACGGACTGTTTGTTTTCAGGCTTGTACCCGCAAGGAGGAATGACGGCGATGGTGTTCTCCTGGAGAAACGTTTTACGGAAGACGAGATTACACGCAGAAGCAATGGTGAGACAAGAGGCAAAAGGGTCAACATCTGTGATTTGGCTGAAAAGTTCGCGGAACTCGAGACAACAACGACGCAAAATGTCCACATCGGATTGACAATATCGAAGAATTTCGGTTTGAAAGTCGAACTCGTACTGACGCCGGACTTGCTCGTTGTACCATGAATAAAACTTTTCTCGGTCATCGCTGCTCATGCCAATTTGCTTATCGAGTCCATAATCACAAGATCCGCCTCCCACTGCTCGTCAATTGCGCCTACAATAACACGGTTCCTTTTGAAACGATATCTTACAGATTTATGTAAAGTATACGTGTCTTGCTTTTGTAGCCATAGCCGTATTTTATTCCGCGATATCTGATGTTTGCCTTCGTCTTTTACGACACGGTAAATTGAATCTATGCCACCAAAGCTTGCGGGACTTTCTGGATTGTAATAGATTTGGCTCAGGTACTTTTCTGCCATCAATGTCTGAGGCTTGAATTACAATTTTCCCTCCACAGCAAGCGGAAATACAACGTACTTTCCGAAAGATATCTCGGAGGGAAATTTCTGGGAGACTTTTACCACAACAGTGCATCCTTTCACCTCAGAGGTTAGAACGAAATGAACCATGCAGCAATCATAGACTAACATATAAAGCTATTAGTGTAAGTGAGAGAGTTATTAAGATTGGTGGTTTATTATTCCTCTTCGCTTTTGGGATATAAAAAGTTCGAAAGGCCTCGACAGTATTTCGGACATGTTCTCGAACGCTTTCCTCGTTGTCACTTTGCATACAAACTAAAGCTAAATAGGCAAAAATGCGACCAAAGTTTGTCATATTTATTTCTCTGTAGACTTGGTCAAGGTTTAGACCATGAGCACTCATTTCACGATATAGATCTCGATGGTGGTCGAGAATTGCATTTATATGAAACGATAAAGTCTGCTTATCGATATCAATTTCATTTTGTCTCAACTCGTCAAAAATTATATTTATATTATTCATTTCACCAGAGAACCTCTCCCCATAAAGGTTAAAACCCAAATGAGAAATATAAGTGATTTATCTCAATAACATACATAACACATTCATGATGATAAAAACAATTTATTTCGTTTTATTACAGTTATTCATATTTCTTAAGGAATTCTTCATACGCTTCCTTAGCATTAATGTTAGTACTAGTGAATGTTTCTCCGTGTCTTCATTCTTGTATCGATATTCTAGCGGGTCACTGAATAGGACGAAGCCAGTCTTGGCCACACGAGGTTCGATCTCTTTCCATTCGAAAAATCCACAGCTGTCTATCTGAGGGCAACAGTAAAACAGGCGGTTCTGGGTGGGTCCTTCTTTTTTCACTTTACGTACGGTGCATACCATCCCGTGTTTGCAGCGTGGTCGAGGGCTTTCGTAAATGTCTCCCCATTGCCAAAAGTTGCAAGGATCATGTCGATCAGAACACGTGAAGAAGGGTCTTCCATAATTTTCTTTCATTTTATCTTTTACCACACGTAATTTGGCTAGTCTCTGATGTGTTGGGCAAATGGGATGATTGGAACCACTATTCTGACAGGCTTCCATTGCTCTCGTAAACAGATAACAGTCTTCGTCATGGCAAAAGAACTCGCAGCTCGGTGTTTCGCCACAAAACCAAAACGTACCACGAGCAGTTGTAGAACAAGCAGCTGGTTTACCGTGAAAACATTCCATCGTGAGCGTTGAATACAGACTATGCAGGTGAAAGGACACTAGCTGTATTTATAGTGGTGTTACTGTATTGTAATGCTAATTGCTCGCGTTGCCACATTTGGCCCAGACCTGCCCGCGTTAATTTGTCGCGCTACCTGTCACAGTTGGGCCAGGCCTGCCCGTGTTAATTGGTCGCGCTACCTGACCCAAGGTTAGGGTTAGGGTCAGCAAAGTTACGTCACATATTTTGCATACTAATTATTTTCGGAGCAGCGTGACGTCATTGGCGGCATCCCTTTGAACTCCAGATGGGGGTCTTTCACTACTCACATGATTGCATCAACTAAGTGTCTGCTTCAAGAAAAATTAGAACATTTCAATTCCAAGCCTATTGGGCACTGTCGTCATTTTGTGAAACGATACAGGTTTCAGTACACTAGAAAGAGAAGACCAGTCTTGCTAGTTCCTCTGCAAGCAATAGCAGTTCGCCTTGTACTGAAATTATTTGAGGTGAATACTCAAACACTTGTCGTCTCCATGGCGCAATCGGTTAGCGCGTTCGGCTGTTAACCGAAAGCTTGACGGTTCAAGTCCATCTGGGGACGGGCTTCTTACCATTTTGAAGAGTACTCGGAACTACGAAAAAAACAAACTTTTTTCAAAATCTCGAGTACATGTTTGAAACAGAAAATTCGTCACATTTTGGGCTGGCACGGGAATCGAACCCGTGACCTCTCGCACCCAAAGCGAGAATCATACCACTAGACCAGCAAGCCGTGCTTGTAGGTTTGAGTGGGAAGGTTCGCTCAACCATGTGCTTAATTTAGTGGTACATCTGATTGACAGGAAATTTTTATATATTTAAATATCAAAGACGACAAATTTGTTCAGTTGCCGTGATCGTATAGTGGTCAGTACATTTCGTTGTGGCCGCACTAACCCAGGTTCGAATTCTGGTCACGGCACATATCCACATAATTGCATCAACTAAGTGTCTGCTTCAAGAAAAATTAGAAAATTCCAAGCCTATTGGACACTGTCGTCATTTTGTGAAACGATACAGGTTTCAGTACACTAGAAAGAGAAGACCAGTCTTGCTAGTGCCTCTGCAAGCAATAGCAGTTCGCCTTGTACTGAAATTATTTGAGGTGAATACTTAAACACATGTCGTCTCCATGGCGCAATCGGTTAGCGCGTTCGGCTGTTAACCGAAAGGTTCAAGTCCATCTGGGGACGGGCTTCTTACCATTTTGAAGAGTACTCGCAACTACGAAAAAAACAACCTTTTTTCAAAATCTCAAGTACATGTTTGAAACAGAAAATTCGGGACATTTTGGGCTTGCACGGGAATCGAACCCGTGACCTCTCGCACCCAAAGCGAGAATCATACCACTAGACCAGCAAGCCGTGCTTGTAGGTTTGAGTGGGAAGGTTCGCTCAACCATGTGCTTAATTTCGCGGTACATCTGATTGGCACGAAATTTTTATATATTTAAATATCAAAGACGACAAATTTGTTCAGTTGCCGTGATCGTATAGTGGTCAGTACATTGCGTTGTGGCCGCAATAACCCAGGTTCGAATCCTGGTCACGGCACATATCCACATGATTGCATCAACTAAGTGTCTGCTTCAAGAAAAATGAGAACATTTCAATTCCAAGCGATTTGGACACTGTCGCCATTTTTCGAAACGATACAGGTTTCAGTACACTAGAAAGAGAAGACCAGTGTTGCTAGTTCCTCTGCAAGCAATAGCAGTTCGCCTTGTACTGAAATTATTTGAGGTGAATAATCAAACACATGTCGTCTCCATGGCGCAATCGGTTAGCGCGTTCGGCTGTTAACCGAAAGGTTGATGGTTCAAGTCCATCTGGGGACGGGCTTCTTACCATTTTGAAGAGTACTCGGAAGTACGAAAAAAACCCAACTTTTTTCAAACTCTCAAGTACATGTTTGAAACAGAAAAATCGTGACATTTTGGGCTTGCACGGGAATCGAACCCGTGATCTCTCGCACCCAAAGCGAGAATCATACCACTAGACCAGCAAGCCGTGCTTGTAGGTTTGAGTGGGAAGGTTTGCTCAACCATGTGCTTAATTTAGCGGTACATCTGATTGGCACGAAATTTTTATATATTTAAATATCAAAGACGACAAATTGGTTCAGTTGCGGTGATCGTATAGTGGTCAGTACATTGCGTTGTCGCCGCAATAACCAAGGTTCGAATCCTGGTCACGGCACATATCCACATGATTCCATCAACTAAGTGTCTGCTTCAAGAAAAATTAGAACATTTCAATTCCAAGCCTATTGGACACTGTCGCCATTTTTTGAAACGATACAGGTTTCAGTACACTAGAAAGAGAAGACCAGTGTTGCTAGTTCCTCTGCAAGCAATAGCAGTTCGCCTTGTACTGAAATTATTTGAGGTGAATAATCAAACACATGTCGTCTCCATGGCGCAATCGGTTAGCGCGTTCGGCTGTTAACCGAAAGGTTGATGGTTCAAGTCCATCTGGGGACGGGCTTCTTACCATTTTGAAGAGTACTCGGAAGTACGAAAAAACCCCAACTTTTTTCAAACTCTCAAGTACATGTTTGAAACAGAAAAATCGTGACATTTTGGGCTTGCACGGGAATCGAACCCGTGATTTCTCGCACCCAAAGCGAGAATCATACCACTAGACCAGCAAGCCGTGCTTGTAGGTTTGAGTGGGAAGGTTTGCTCAACCATGTGCTTAATTTAGCGGTACATCTGATTGGCACGAAATTTTTATATATTTAAATATCAAAGACGACAAATTTGTTCAGTTGCGGAGATCGTATAGTGGTTAGTACATTGCGTTGTCGCCGCATTAACCAAGGTTCGAATCCTGGTCACGGCACATATCCACATGATTCCATCAACTAAGTGTCTGCTTCAAGAAAAATTAGAACATTTCAATTCCAAGCCTATTGGACACTGTCGCCATTTTTTGAAACGATACAGGTTTCAGTACACTAGAAAGAGAAGACAAGTGTTGCTAGTTCCTCTGCAAGCAATAGCAGTTCGCCTTGTACTGAAATTATTTCAGGTGAATACTCAAACACTTGTCGTCTCCATGGCGCAATCGGTTAGCGCGTTCGGCTGTTAACCGAAAGGTTGATGGTTCAAGTCCATCTGGGGACGGCTTCTTACCATTTTGAAGAGTACTCGGAACTACGAAAAAAACAAACTTTTTTCAAAATCTCGAGTACATGTTTGAAACAGAAAATTAGTGACATTTTGGGCTTGCACGGGAATCGAACCCGTGACCTCTCGCACCCAAAGCGAGAATCATACCACTAGACCAGCAAGCCGTGCTTGTAGGTTTGAGTGGGAAGGTTTGCTCAACCATGTGCTTAATTTAGCGGTACATCTGATTGGCACGAAATTTTTATATATTTAAATATCAAAGACGACAAATTTGTTCAGTTGCGGTGATCGTATAGTGGTCAGTACATTGCGTTGTCGCCGCATTAACCAAGGTTCGAATCCTGGTCACGGCACATATCCACATGATTCCATCAACTAAGTGTCTGCTTCAAGAAAAATTAGAACATTTCAATTCCAAGCCTATTGGACACTGTCGCCATTTTTTGAAACGATACAGGTTTCAGTACACTAGAAAGAGAAGACAAGTGTTGCTAGTTCCTCTGCAAGCAATAGCAGTTCGCCTTGTACTGAAATTATTTCAGGTGAATACTCAAACACTTGTCGTCTCCATGGCGCAATCGGTTAGCGCGTTCGGCTGTTAACCGAAAGGTTGATGGTTCAAGTCCATCTGGGGACGCGCTTCTTACCATTTTGAAGAGTACTCGGAACTACGACAAAAAAACAAACTTTTTTCAAAATCTCGAGTACATGTTTGAAACAGAAAATTCGTGACATTTTGGGCTTGCACGGGAATCGAACCCGTGACCTCTCTGACCGTGTTTGTAGGTTTGAGTGGGAAGGTTCGCTCAACCATGTGCTTAATTTAGTGGTACAACTGATTGGCAGGAAATTTTTATATATTTAAATATCAAAGACGACAAATTTCTTCAGTTGCAGTGATCGTATAGTGGTCAGTACATTGCGTTGTGGCCGCAATAACCCAGGTTCGAATACTGGTCACGGCACATATCCACATGATTGCATCAACTAAGTGTCTGCTTCAAGAAAAATTAGGAGATTTCAATTCACACTGTCGTCATTTTGTGAAACGATACAGGTTTCAGTACACTAGAAAGAGAAGAACAGTGTTGCTAGTTCCTCTGCAAGCAATAGCAGTTCGCCTTGTACTGAAATTATTTGAGGTGAATACTCAAACACATGTCGTCTCCATGGCGCAATCGGTTAGCGCGTTCGGCTGTTAACCGAAAGGTTGATGGTTCAAGTCCATCTGGGGACGGGCTTCTTACGATTTTGAAGAGTACTCGGACCTACGAAAAAACAAACTTTTTTCAAAATCTCAAGTACATGTTTGAAACAGAAACTTCGTGACATTTTGGGCTTGCACGGGAATCGAACCCGTGAGCTCTCGCACCCACAGCGAGAATCATACCACTAGACCAGCAAGCCGTGCTGGTAGGTTTGAGTGGGAAGGTTCGCTCAACCATGTTCTTAATTTAGTGGTACATCTGATTGGCAGGAAATTTTTATATATTTAAATATCAAAGACGAAAAATTTGTTCAGTTGCCGTGATCGTATAGTGGTCAGTACATTGCGTTGTGGCCGCAATAACCCAGGTTGGAATCCTGGTCACGGCACATATCCACATGATTGCATCAACTAAGTGTCTGCTTCAAGAAAAATTAGAACATTTCAATTCCAAGCGTATTGGACACTGTCGTCATTTTTTGAAACGATACAGGTTTCAGTACACTAGAAAGAGAAGACCAGTGTTGCTAGTTCCTCTGGAAGCTATAGCAGTTCGCCTTGTACGGAAATTATTTGAGGTGAATACTCAAACACTTGTCGTCTCCATGGCGCAATCGGTTAGCGCGTTCGGCTGTTAACCGAAAGGTTGATGGTTCAAGTCCATCTGGAGACGCGCTTCTTACTATTTTGAAGAGTACTCGGAACTACGAAAAAAGAAACTTTTTTCAAAATCTCGAGTACATGTTTGAAACAGAAAATTCCTCTCAAGTACATGCTTGAAACAGAAAATTCGTGACATTTTGGGCTTGCACGGGAATCGAACCCGTGACCTCTCGCACCCAAAGCGAGAATCATACCACTAGACAAGCAAGCCGTGCTTGTAGGTTTGAGTGGGAAGGTTCGCTCAACTATGTGCTTAATTTAGTGGTACATCTGATTGGCAGGAAATTTTTATATATTTAAATATCAAAGACCACAAAGTTCTTCAGTTGCAGTGATCGTATAGTGGTCAGTACATTGCGTTGTGGCCGCAATAACCCAGGTTCGAATACTGCTCACGGCACATATCCACATGATTGCATCAACTAAGTGTCTGCTTCAAGAAAATTTAGGACATTTCAATTCCAAGCCTATTGGACACTGTCGTCATTTTGTGAAACGATACAGGTTTCAGTACACTAGAAAGGGAAGACCAGTGTTGCTAGTTCCTCTCCAAGCAATAGCAGTTCGCCTTGTACTGAAATTATTTGAGGTGAATACTCAAACGCTTGTCGTCTCCATGGCGCAATCGGTTAGCGCGTTCGGCTGTTAACCGAAAGGTTGATGGTTCAAGTCCATCTGGGGACGCGCTTCTTACCATTTTGAAGAGTACTCGGAACTACGACAAAAAAACAAACTTTTTTCAAAATCTCAAGTACATGTTTGAAACAGAAACTTCGAGACATTTTGGGCTTGCTCGGGAATCGAACTCGTGACCTCTCTGACCGTGTTTGTAGGTTTGAGTGGGAAGGTTCGCTCAACCATGTGCTTAATTTAGTGGTACATCTGATTGGCAGGAAATTTTTATATATTTAAATATCAAAGACGACAAATTTCTTCAGTTGCAGTGATCGTATAGTGGTCAGTACACTGCGTTGTGGCCGCAATAACTCAGGTTCGAATACTGGTCACGGCACATATCCACATGATTGCATCAACTAAGTGTCTGCTTCAAGAAAAATTAGGAGATTTCAATTCACACTGTCGTCATTTTGTGAAACGATACAGGTTTCAGTACACTAGAAAGAGAAGAACAGTGTTGCTAGTTCCTCTGCAAGCAATAGCAGTTCGCCTTGTACTGAAATTATTTGAGGTGAATACTCAAACACTTGTCGTCTCCATGGCGCAATCGGTTAGCGCGTTCGGCTGTTAACCGAAAGGTTGATTGTTCAAGTCCATCTGGGGACGGGCTTCTTACCATTTTGAAGAGTACTCGGAACTACGACAAAAAACAAACTTTTTTCAAAATCTCGAGTACATGTTTGAAACAGAAAATTCGGGACATTTTGGGCTTGCACGGGAATCGAACCCGTGACCTCTCGCACCCAAAGCGAGAATCATACCACTAGACCAGCAAGCCGTGCTGGTAGGTTTGAGTGGGAAGGTTCGCTCAACCATGTGCTTAATTCAGTGGTACATCTGATTGGCAGGAAATTTTTATATATTTAAATATCAAAGACGACAAATTTCTTCAGTTGCCGTGATCGTATAGTGGTCAGTACATTGCGTTGTGGCCGCAATAACCCAGGTTCGAATCCTGGTCACGGTACATATCCGCATGATTGCATTAACTAAGTGTCTGCTTTACGAAAAATTAGAACATTTCAATTCCAAGCCTATTAGACACTGTCGTCATTTTGTAAAACGAAACAGGTTTCAGTACACTAGAAAGAGAAGAACAGTGTTGCTAGTTCCTCTGCAAGCAATACCAGTTCCCCTTGTACTGAAATTATTTGAGGTGAATACTCAAACACTTGTCGTCTCCATGGCGCAATCGGTTAGCGCGTTCGGGTGTTAACCGAAAGGTTGATTCTTCAAGTCCATCTGGGGACAGGCTTCTTACCATTTTGAAGAGTACTCGGAACTACGAAAAAAAGAAACTTTTTTCAAAATCTCGAGTACATGTTTGAAACAGAAAATTCGGGACATTTTGGGCTTGCACGGGAATCGAACCCGTGACCTCTCGCACCCAAAGCGAGAATCATACCACTAGACCAGCAAGCCGTGCTTGTAGGTTTGAGTGGGAAGGTTCGCTCAACCATGTGCTTAATTTAGCGGTACATCTGATTGGCACGAAATTTTTATATATTCAAATATCAAAGACGACAAATTTGTTCAGTTGCCGTGATCGTATAGTGGTCAGTACATTGCGTTGTTGCTGCAATAACCAAGGTTCGAATCCTGGTCACGGCACATATCCACATGATTGCATCAACTAACTGTCTGCTTCAAGAAAAATTAGACATTTCAATTCCAAGCCTATTAGACATCGTCGTCATTTTGTGAAACGATACAGGTGTCAGTACACTAGAAAGAGAAGAACAGTGTTGCTAGTTCCTCGGCAAGCAATAGCAGTTCGCCTTGTACTGAAATTATTTGAGGTGAATACTCAAAAAAATTGTCGTCTCCATGGCGCAATCGGTTAGCGCGTTCGGCTGTTAACCGAAAGGTTGATGGTTCAAGTCCATCTGGGGACGGGCTTCTTACCATTTTGAAGAGTACTCGGACCTACGAAAAAACAAACTTTTTTCAAAATCTCAAGTACATGTTTGAAACAGAAACTTCGTGACATTTTGGGCTTGCACGGGAATCGAACCCGTGACCTCTCGCACCCAAAGCGAGAATCATACCACTAGACCAGCAAGCCGTGCTGGTAGGTTTGAGTGGGAAGGTTCGCTCAACCATGTTCTTAATTTAGTGGTACATCTGATTGGCAGGAAATTTTTATATATTTAAATATCAAAGACGAAAAATTTGTTCAGTTGCCGTGATCGTATAGTGGTCAGTACATTGCGTTGTGGCCGCAATAACCCAGGTTGGAATCCTGGTCACGGCACATATCCACATGATTGCATCAACTAAGTGTCTGCTTCAAGAAAAATTAGAACATTTCAATTCCAAGCGTATTGGACACTGTCGTCATTTTTTGAAACGATACAGGTTTCAGTACACTAGAAAGAGAAGACCAGTGTTGCTAGTTCCTCTGGAAGCTATAGCAGTTCGCCTTGTACGGAAATTATTTGAGGTGAATACTCAAACACTTGTCGTCTCCATGGCGCAATCGGTTAGCGCGTTCGGCTGTTAACCGAAAGGTTGATGGTTCAAGTCCATCTGGAGACGCGCTTCTTACCATTTTGAAGAGTACTCGGAACTACGACAAAAAACAAACTTTTTTCAACCTCTCAAGTACATGCTTGAAACAGAAAATTCGTGACATTTTGGGCTTGCACGGGAATCGAACCCGTGACCTCTCGCACCCAAAGCGAGAATCATACCACTAGACAAGCAAGCCGTGCTTGTAGGTTTGAGTGGGAAGGTTCGCTCAACTATGTGCTTAATTTAGTGGTACATCTGATTGGCAGGAAATTTTTATATATTTAAATATCA